AAAGTCATAATTTCGACTTTCAAAGTCATAATTTCGACTTTCAAAGTCATAATTTCGACTTTCAAAGTCATAATTATGAGATACCGGAGCAGTTGGAGACAAGCCTCCTTAGAATAACAGCGTGCTTCAGCTCCCAGTTAAATATGATCCTAAATCCAAGGTCCAACCTTTGCTACTGCGTTAAGAGTCAGTAAAAGGTAGGTTCGCCTTTTTTGATTTTTGATTTTGTTTAGATTCCTTCGTTTTGAATGCTTTTTGATCGTGTGGTGTTATGTACATCGGTCGTTGTTTTAGCAACATGAGCTAGCTGCAGGTTAACCGTCAAAGCGTGCTAACCTTGTTATAGCATATTTAACAGTTTTTTTTTTTTTTGAAGTAGTCCGTTAATTAGATCGTTTTTATTTCAGAGTGCGATAAGAAGTTTGTACTCCAAAAATTCAATAAGTTAATATGTATAATTATTTTGTGGCATAACTACAAGCAATAGCTAGTAGGTTAAAACAAGCTCCACAGCTTGTTGCACGTTTTGTTATGCATAATGTGATTCACTATCTTTCCCGTTAAATTGTTTTTGTCGATACATAGACAAGAGTAAAATATGGAAGTATAATATGCATCAGTTTTCAAACTGTTTTCTTAGCAGTTTCATGTACACTTAAGCTATTGCTGGAGATCTGCAGCTTTAGATTGACAATATTTATAAAAGCAATTAAAAATAAGAAAAATTGAAAAACAAGAAACTTAAAAAATCCCCAAAACAGGCAGGCCCTGTTGAAAAGTTTAACTCCTCAACTTTACTCAACTTTCAGGATGCCTACAAAAGAGACAGAAGAGGTTCCTTTGACCTGAACCTAAACCTAAACAGAGGTAAGTTGCAACTCTTGTGAAAATCCAGTTTATCATATTATCTGTTTAAATGAAAGTAATTAAGATCAAAACTAAAATCATTCTGATGATGTTCATGTACTTGACTCTTTTATAAAGATGGGAATTTCATTTTGAGAATTGTTCAACCATTGAAATATTTTAGGGGAAAAATGTAAACAGAACTTTCAGACCTAAGCTCTACACTTTACCATTTAGTTGTGGAGACACTGGTAGATTTTTCTTTATTACTTTTATGTAGTTTCTTTGTGCATTGGTTTATTATTGCAGATCTGTACAGCTGTTTGGTTGTCTATTGTCTTTTTTTAGCAGGAGCTTGAGTCTGAAATACAGTTTCTATCCGTCTTGTAGGGTTGGACAATAAATCAGTTATATGTATCACGATACACACGTGATCAATATCAATAGATAGTAAGTTTGACAGAATATTCAATAGAATATTCTCTAAACTCTGATCCAGAACCACATACCATTCTGGAGGATGTAGGCACAGTCAAGGCTTCTCAACCTCTCAAGGCTAGCTCATCTAGGTTGATGGCATCATTTAACTAACTGGTGAACTAGCAACAAGCTGTTGAGTAACTTGCGGAGCAGCAGTTTAATGTTTCACCACTGTGCCTCATAAATGTTTTTAAAAAACATTATGGTGTGAAAGCTGTGGATAAAATGGGAAAGGTCACATCACCAGTTTGGCAGTATTTCAGATATTAAAAAAAAAAAAAAATGATGTAAAATAATAAAAAATGCTTGTATCGTGAAGAGTTTTTCAGTAATATCATTCAACCCTATTCTCATGTTCATAATACATTTTTTGCAATGTTATGTTTTATTAGACATTATTCATTAGTTATTGTGTGTAATTGTCACAGGATGGATGAAATTGACTTCTTAAAATCACGGGATGTTTCAGAGGAAGTCATACAACGACTGCAAAAGGATAAGGTAGCTAGATTGCTAAGGAAATCAGTACATTTAGAAGTTATCATAAAAAATTATTATAGAGACATGGTGAAGACAGATCAGTTTTATCATGTGGCTGTTTTTACTGGGTTTTCCCCCCATTTTTATAGGTTAAATAACGGTTTTAACTTTTGTTTTCTAGATTGACTCCAGTGTCCTTCTGCTCATGACAGATGAGCAGCTTAAGGAGTATCTCCCATCTTATGGTGACCGACTGGCACTTCTCGGATATTGCAGACGAAGGGAAAATGATCCTGCTGGCCGGAAATCAAAACTTTTTGACCGATTGAGAGCCAAGATTTCAAGGAACAAAGGCAACGATCAAAAGCAGATCTCAGAAAATGTTAGCATCAGAAATGCTCAAAAAAGTGTTCGAAAAGTTGAGATAGGATGGATGAATTCTCGAGATGGGAAGTTTTTTCAAGCTCGGACAAAGAAAGGTGGTGGAACAAGAAAAATTGATGTGTCAAAGGACTGTAGAAAAAATGAATTAATTGAAAAGGCAGTAGGTTTGTTTTTTCCGTCTCAAAGAAATTCACATGGAAGAATTACAGATTTTGAGGTTGACATGACAGATTTCCAGGAACATTCACTTGATGAACATATTACAGTTGGAGAACTTTATGAGCAGACAAAACTACCTGTTTTGCGTTTTTACCGAACAACCAAAAAGAAGGACACTGGCAGCGACTCAGAACCAGACAACCCCAGTGGAAATGACCAAGACACTTTAAGGTTTTCTACTCACTCTCAAGTTTGCACACCACTGACTCAATCCAAAGCGCCAGACAGCATTGATGCCATATATGTTGGAACCAGCAGTGTCCTGACAAACAGCAGCAGTGATAATGTTCACCTAGTTTACTCTACTGATGACATGGGTGATTTGTCCAATGTCCAAGAGCTAGATGCAGGAATCAATGGGGACATTTTAGAAGACAGTGGCACTGTTACCTTTTTCACAGGACACATTTCTGACACAGATAGTCTCAGTCTTGATGACACCCTTCCTCTGTTTCCACAGCCATCTAGTCCAGTGCTTTCTTCTTCACAATTTGATTCTTTGAACGAGCCAATTGTTCAGAGAGAAGGGATTAAGAAAATCCTTGTTCTTCACCGTGGCCAGATCCTGAAAGAACTAATTTCACATTTTTGTGATCCAGGTGTCACTCAGGAGGACATATGTATTCAAGTGGTGCTCCCTGATGGAAGGCGAGAAAAGGCTGTTGATGATGGAGGAGTTTTGAGGGATGTCCTCTCAGAATTTTGGCAGGACTTTTATGAACAGTGCACAATGGGCAATAACTTTAAGGTGCCCTACTTGCGTCATGATTTTGGACAGCAACAATGGGAAAGCATTGGCCGAATTATTGCCTTTGGCTGGCAAAAACAGAAGTACCTGCCTATAAAACTTGCTCCAGTAATACTGGAACAAGCAGTTCTTGGTTCTATAAAGAGTCCTCTTGTTGATAGCTTCTTAAGGTATGTTACAGAGTACGATCGGATGGTGTTTGAATCTTGCCTTTCAGATTTTCAGAGTGTTGACAAAGAAGAGCTTCTGGAAATCATGGATATCCATAACTGTCGAAGAGTACCAACAGCTGATAACATAGAGCTACTACTTGAGGAGCTTGCCCACCAAAAGCTCATTCAGGAACCTGCCTTTGTTATTGAGCAGTGGAGCACTGTCCTTTCCCCGCTGAGGTCAGAGATGGAAAGTATTACAACTGCATATGAAAATCTCCAGCCAACATTAAGAAAGGTTATACATTCAATTGTATATCCTGCAGTCATGAATGCACAGCAGAAAAACATCAGCAAATATTTAAGTTCTTATCTCAGAAGATCAGACTCACAACACCTGTCACTTTTTCTGCGGTTCTGCACAGGATCTGATTTGTTTCTTCAAAAAACTATCAGTGTTAGCTTCACTCAACTTCAAGGTATTCAGAGACGGCCAGTTGCCCACACATGCGGTTGCTACCTAGAGTTGCCAGTTAATTATGATAACTATCCAGAGTTTCGACACGAAATAAACAAGGTCCTAGAAAGTAGTGTATGGGTGATGGATATAGTCTAACAGACATCAGCTGAAGAACATGTGAGTTTCAGGAATCTTTGGTAACACCTTATTTGAAGGGGTGTGCATAAGACTGACATGATGACACTGTCATAAACATGACGATATCTGTCATGAACATGAAGGAGTCTTTATGAATGTTTATGACAGTGTCATGTCAGTCTTATGCACACCCCTTCAAATAAAGTGTTACCAAATCTTTTTGTATTAAACTTTCAAAGTTTAGCATTATCCTAACATGTTTTTTAGCTCATCTTAACTCCACAGAGTTTCTACTTTTTGCAATTTATTTTTCTCTGGAGTATTTATAAGACCTGCAATGTCATAGTAGGCACTCTACTACTAGTGTTTTTTTTTTGTTTTTTGTTTTTG